GGAACCAGGCCGGGAGAGGGGAAGAGAGGTTGAGGTTGACTCTACAAGCCTGCATCAATTTGTTTAGGACGGGGGGGGGGGGAAGGAAATTTAAAAAAGATGGCTGAGCTTGAGGAATACGGGAGCGAGATCCCACTAGCAAAGAGGAATTTCGATCGAACGCCTGAATTTGGACGTAATTAGGGAAAGATGCATCATTGATCAGCTTTTCTGCATCTCTGCAGAAAACGCATCCAGATTCCAGATTCAGGTGCTCGACACAATCCACGTTGCTACCGAAACCTCGCCCCAGATGCGAGAGAGGAGACAATGCGGTCAAATATTTTCTTTTTTATTTTTTTTAACTTAAAAAAATAAGAAAAAAATATTTTCTTTTTTATTTTTTAACTTTAAAAAATAAAGAAAAAACATTTTCTTATTTTCTTATTAATTTTGCAAGTTACGAATACCCGATGCGAGAGAGGTGAAGAGGAGGCGTTTAAGAAAAAAGCGAAAAAAAAATAATAAAATAAAATAAAATAAGAGGAGGTGTCAACAGTAAACATACCAAGAGGGATCTCTGCATCCAGACAGTCCAGCGAGGGCAACATTTTGTCGTACTACGGCATACTGCCACGTCGACTTCACGGACGTATCTGCCCCTTTATTCCACCCACATTCAGTTCCACTGGTCACACACAATGTGACCATGCCCTTCCAACCCTCCCCTCCCCTCCTCCCCCCCCCCTTCTCCACGCTGGACTACCCAGTCCCGGTAGATCTGATGACTAATTAGCAAATCTGAAGGCTGATGAGCACATCTCACGGCTTATCGCGTTCTGACACGTGGACATTCTCCGGATTAGTTACGCACAGTCCTTGGTACAGTCGGGATCCCGGCAGATGATTCCCTATCAACATATCACGGGACCATCCTTGGTACAGTCGGGATCCCGGCAGATGATTCCCTGCACGATTGTCTGCAAGATTGTCTTCTTCAAAAAGGCTGATATCGTTCTATGACTGAGGTCCAGGGATCGAATCCGTTTGGCGCCAAAAGCACGTTCCAGGCTTTCCACTCAACGAGCAGAATTGTGACGTTCCAGGGTTTCCAATTGTGACCCTCTGAATGAAGCCCGAATGATGATGACCGCACGGCAAAATTATATTTTGTGGTACCTGCAATAGACAAAAAAA